CTGCGACATCCTGCTGCGTGCTGCTACGGGAACAGAGAAATGTACGGTCATGATGGATCACATCCATCATCATATCAGCACAATCCGCAGCGTCTCCAGCACCAGCACGAGGAGCAGCACGAGCAGGAGCAGCAGCAGCAGCAAGACCAGGATTCCCATGCACTGTGCAACGGTTGCCAAGGCTGCGAGGGATTTCGATGGCGAAAGGCATCGCACAAACGGATGGTTGGCCAGCACGTGAAAAGGTACTGCTGGTGCGATGGGTACCTTGGCTACTGCTGGTACGAATGGAAGAAGTAGCTTGAGTAAGTCTAGTACCAGTCCCATCCCATCACCCCTCTTCTCCCTCCGCCCCCTCTAGAAAATACATTGCTGGACTCTGAAGTGAGCCACCCTTGAGCTTTTGCTGAGCCTGTCAGTCAGACGATCATATTCAATTATCCCTGGGTATTAAACCAAAGAATGCATCTAACCTGTGCCAATTCTTGCCCGTCTTTTCTGTTGCAGGATCTACTTTGTGTGCGCATTCAAGCAACTCACGGGCTGCCCGGCAAAAAAAACGGAGGACCGAGTGGCTGGGGAGGCCCGGCCTCGCCGTCACAAGTCTCAAGGCGCCATCGTAAAGGCGGAAAGCTCTGCCTCTACAAGCCACTTGGCTTCAGGAAGTGACAATACAGGGCGCGGCAGAACAGAGATGCGGGTGGTTGTGCGGACTGCGTATTCCGGCTCACATAACCACGCACCGACATGCCAATGCCTTCCTCACACTCATCCTACTGCCACGACTGCTACAACCTTACCTCCTGCTACAACCTTCCCTCCTGCTACAACCTTTCTTCCCACTACAGCAACGGCAGCATTGCTGACATCAGCAGCATCGGTAAATGGAACCGAGTACTCACCGCTAGCATCGCTGAAAGCAACCGGCTGGAATGTCTCGCTGCCTAATCGAGGCTCTCTCTTTGGTAACCATGCAACTGATTCTGCAGCAGCAGCAGCTGCTGCTGCTGCTGCTGCTGGCAACAACGCACCAGCTGCACCTGATTTCCCAGTGCCATTCCCGGCTGCTGGCGGAATAACATTCCCAAACGAGCTTGTTCAGTGGCAACAGGGACTGCGGATGAGGCAGATGGAGCAGATGCAGGAGGCAATACAGCTGACTTTTGAGCCGTCTCAGACGCCTGTTACCACCAACGCAGTCGAATCTGTGAGTGGCTCGGATCTGTGTGGGGAAGCGCAAGATCAGCAAGTGCAACAGCTTAGGATCAACGTGTGGCAGAACCCTAGCACTGTCGCTGATACGGTTGCTCTGGAACAGCAGGGCGGCCCTCATGTGCAGCATGTGCAGCAGATGCATGTGCAGCATGTGCAGCAGATGCATGTGCAGCATGTGCAGCAGATGCAGCAGCTTCGATTTGAAGCACGGCGCACGGCCAAGCAGTGAGCAGCATGATGTCTCTGGAGCAGCAGCGAGTGCAACTGCAGCAGACGCCACAGCAGACGCCACAGCAGACGCCACAGCAGACGCCACAGCAGACGCCACTGCAGACGCCACAGCAAACGCCACAGCATCTTCGATTCGAGTCTCGAGTAAACACCAAGGCAGTCAGCAGCATGGTTCTTCTGGAGCAGCAGGGTCCTCTCATGCAGCAGACGTCTTGTTTTGAGGCGCCTCAAAAGTCTTGTTTTGAGGCGCCTCGAGTCAACACCAAGGCAGTCAGCAGCATGGTTCTTCTGGAGCAGCAGGATCCTCTCATGCAGCAGATGCAAGAGGTGAGCTTCGAGGCATCTCAAGCATGTGCCGCCACAAGGAAAGTCGCCGCTGTGCGTGCTTCGGAGCAGCCCCAAGGGGCGGTGCTGGAGGACATTGGCATGGGCATGAGCATGGGCATGGGCATGTGCATTAACTTGGACATTGATTTGGACATGGGCATTTTCCTTGACGGACTCGAAGAGCAAGAGCCAATGCAGCAGAGCCAGAAACTTCATTGTCGGTTGCAGGAGCCGGAGCAACACAAGCGTCCACATCTGCAGGTTCAGAAGCAAGACATGCAGCAAAAGCAGCAGCAGCAGCAGCAGCAACAACAGGAGCAGTGGCAATGGCAACAGCAGCAGCAATGGCAGCAAGAGCAGCAACGGCAGCAAGAACCGTACCAGCAAAGGAAGCAGCAGCCACAGCATCAACAGCAGCAGCAGGAACAACAGGGGCAGTGGCAACGGCAACAGCACCAGCAACAGCTGCAGAAGCACCAGCAACAACAGCAGCAGCAGCAGCAGCAGCAGCACCAGTAACAACAGCAGCAGCAGCAACAACAACAGCAGCAGCAGCAGCAGCAGCAGCAACAACAGCAGCAGCACCAGCAACAAAAGCAGCAGCACCAGCAACAACAGCAGCAGCACCAGCAACAACAGCAGCAACGCCAGCAACAACAGTAGCAGCGCCAGCAACAACAGCAGCAGCGCCAGCAAGAACAGCAGCAGCAGAGAAGCACACCGTCATCTCTGCTGTGCACCGAGAAGCTTGAATGCCAACGGACAGCATGTGCTGCTGGTGTACTTACTCCCGCCACTCATGTCACCACGGGTGTCACAGATGTAAACATCAGTGTAATAGCTGCGACCGCGCACATCCCCGCGGTTACCACACGCACACTTGCTGTTTCCGCATTCATTTCAGAGCCAGCAGCATGCGGCTACAGTGAAGCAGCAGACACAGGTCTTCATCCAACTGCTAATCCTTCTGACTTGCTAGCGGGGTTTCTTTCTCCTTCTGCTGCTCCCGCAGCTGACTCAAGTGTTCCGACCAGTGCGCTTGGTGTTACCAGCAATGGCGTTGGTGTGAGCACTACAGAAGCTGATATTCCTGGCCCTGACTTTACCATTCCTCCTTGGGCTTGCTCCCCCCTTATGCCAGTTCTGGTATCCGCCGGCCTGTCATGCATGAACCAGCTTTTCAAAGCAATGATTCCTTCCATGGTTCCACCAAACAGTTTTGTTGCCACGTCAGCTCCCAGTGGTGCTGACGTGTCAGCATGTGGTGGTGTCGCCACATCGGGGTGTGAGACCAGTGCCTTTCAGCAGCAGGCAGCTTCGTGCATGCAGATGTCAAGTGTTGAACTCAGGGATTGTCGTCTCCATCACACGTCCCACTCCCAGCAGAATTTGCTGCAGCGTCATCAGCCACAGCAGCAGCTTCGGCAAACTGTTTCGACAGAAGCAGCAGCTTACATGGTGGATGGTGGGGGCAGCAACAAGAGCTTTGACAACACCAGCAGCAGGAGCTGCACGCACAGTAACAGCAGCGATGCCAAGGAACCTGGCACCTACCATGATGGTCTGTTGAGTGTTAATCGTAACGAGTTTTCCAACGCTTTGACGTACGATCGAATTGTTCGACGTAACAGCGCTACCAGCAGCGCTGGCAGCATGAGCACTTTGAGTTGCTCTGCGGCGGGATCATCACCATATGATGAAAAGGTTGACGTGGGATATGATGAATCGGTCAATGTGGGAGAGCGCTTGGAAGCTTCTGTTGCAGACGTGTCATTGGATGAGCTGTACCTAGCTCGAGAAGACATCAGCATGTTCCAAGTCACTGCACAGGATTTTGACAATCCAGAGCTGATGTGCACGCTAGTTGTGCAAGGCTGCGACAATATTCTTAGTATTTTGTCTGATTGTGTAGGAGAAGAAACAAAGTAGTAATGTGAGGCACGTTTTTTTGTGCACTAAGAATGCACGGGGTGCAGAAGTAATAGGTTCGCTATCTTGATGTGGCAATGGCAAGGGTGTTTAGTATATATCTACCTTTTGTCTATGGATGGCGAGTGTTGTAACTCCTCTTTAACTTCAGCTGAGGCTTTCCTCACATGAGTCCCTGTATAAGGATGGTTGAGAGCTTCGAATGTTTTGCATTTTGGAGAGGGTTACCGAACCCTCACGTGTAACACGTGACTTGCCAACCACATTGTGTCAAATTCCGCTGAAATTCATGCTTGATTTCCCGCGAAACCCTGATACAGGTCAGCTCACATGGGAAGTGACGCATTGGCTGATATCCAGCGTCAGCAATTTGTGAAAGTCATGCTGATTGGATGAGTCCAGCTCATTGCTCACGCACGCTTTTTCCGAGCATCTGACTTTGTTGCGAGATGCACCAATAGATGACAACCTCGTGGACATCTCGAATTTTCGACCTCTCAGGTTTTGATTGACGCCTTGCCTGCTGCAGCCTTGTTTTCGTCTTGCTTCACCACCACATTCTGCATGTGTAAAGCAAGTCCCCCCAAGCATGCGCGAAGCAAATGCTGTCCCGCACGAGTTTGTCGGTTTCCGCGCATGGATAGAGAAAACCTGCTTCTCTCCTCTTGTGTGTGCCGCACCGCCAAATTCTTACGGCTGTCTATGGGAAACCCCTACCGTGTGTCCAGGAACTTTTCCGAGCATCACCTTGTCTTCTGCCCAGAAATACACATTTTTGTGGGATAAGATTCCATTTTTTTCAGACAACCCATATTTTATGTGACTCCACACTTCCTGAAGCCACATCGAAACACTAAGATGAAGAACCACTGAATCCATTCGTCGAATGGGTTAATACCAATCTGAACGAGCCAAATCGCAATGGACCCTCCGCGCAAATTCCAGAAGCTTTCCCCCTCCGCGTTCCCCAGACCCCCTTCCATGTCCCCCTTCCAACACCACCGATGGATTGACAGGCGCCTCCTCAGCGGACCTCTCCTGCCACTCTCCCTCATCCGTTACGTCGCTCACACCAATTTACTATAAGAACCTCGGCAGGATGGAGGTAACCATTCCCAGAGACCAAGAGTGCGAATTGAAAGAATTTGGGTTGCAGCTCGCCGTGTGCTCGAACTCCCCATCTTCCTTTCTTACTCATCGGTCGAGGAGATCACCTCTCGCGCGGCTACTTTCGTCTTGCGAGGGCTTACTATTCAAGCTAACTTCATCAACCGAGCTTCGTCGTCGCTTCTACAAGAATGAGTTTCATCGAAAAGGTTTGGAGTGAAGTCATGGGAAGCTCCCCGCAGCTACCTTCATCCTTGGACAAGAGCATCTCGATTTCTCCTAGAAGCTCTCTGGAACGTTACGACAGTGCGGGAAGCCCGCTTTCTCCTTCGAATGAAGGCTCATATCATGGTACGCAATCCAAATTCTCCAATGGAAGACGTATGCTTCTCTACTTTCGCAGGCTTTGTTCGACGCGGTCAGATTCATGCTCAATTGCCCGTCGATGTCGCTTAATAATCGTTTTTCGCTTCTGCATCGCATGCAGGAATTCCACCGCCGCTGAATCTCGACGAGCGGCGTAAGAGCGCAGATATGGCGTCTGACGGTCGGACAGTGATGCCGAGAATCACCAAGAGCATCTCCATTGCTACACAGCATCCAAAGATGGCTCGCCGGCTCGACACATCTCGCTCTCTGCCAGCACACTACGACACTGGGCTTTCCAACTTGCCTTCCCCCGGTACGTTCCACTGCCACCCCTCTTTTTTTTAATTATTGAATTGATGTACTTCGTGTTTCACACGGTTTTCTTGAATTGCACTTGACTGACGTTTCGTCTTGTTTCTTACGTCATGGTTGGATCTTAATTATTACAGCGTCACGCAAGGGTGAGAACGTCTGGCGCAGTGTGTTTCACCCTGGAAGCAACAAGGCTGGGATGGACCGCGTTGGTGCTACCAGATTTGACAAGGCTAGCTCGTCGGAGCCGTCCGTGTTCGACTGGTATAATCCGCTCACGATCTGAGCGCCCAGAGCCCAGACGCAATGTAATGTCTTATGGGCTCCCTGTTTCTGCATTTTAATCTCGTCTCATCCGTGTCATTATTTTATCCCTTTGACATTCGTGACACCGTTGTTAGGTATGCTAAGCGATTTCTAGATTTCTGATGCCATTCGCCTTGTTTCACTTCCAGGATGTACAACCCCAAGTCGAAGTCGCAGTACCGTTAGAGCAACGTCACATGTGAGGATGCTTTTGCAGCTGACGAGGCGGACAACATGAAGTGACATTGGAACCTCACGATCTGCAATAAAACACTGGAGCGGTTTTTACGGCAGTGAATACTGGGGCTGAAAGCCCTACTGTACATGCTGTACATGTGCTGCCTGCGCCCTCAACCAAGATTTTTTTTCGAGCTTCCTACTTCTGCTGCAATGGGGGGATTCGTCATCTTCACTGCTCGTCAACAACAATCTTTCACGTTGCTCGGTGCTGCTTCACTTCACACTGCGTTTCAAGTTCCAGCTTCGCTTGCTTCTGCCATCATCTTCTGAGGGTGCAGATGGTGGACAAAGCGTTATTTCGCTTGTTCTGTCTTTCTGCCGAGTTTTTTCCTCAGGGTGCACCAGGATTTTCCATGGGCTAGCCGCCTAAAAAGGCTTGTCCAGGAGCTGCGTTCATGGAGTGTGGATCTCGTGTGTGATGCTGGTGTGGCTAGGGGCGAAGTCCCTGGTGACCATCCTGCATTTTGTGCTGTAGATATATCTTTGTAAAGAATTTGGAAATGAAATCTGAAGTCTTCAAAAATTGGAAGCTCAAAATGGCAGTTCTTAAGGGTTTTAGATGAGATGAAAGTAATGAGTTGGAACGGGTGCAGGCCGGACCCCATCCTCACTCCCCTCTCCATCCTCCTCTCTCTCATTGCATCTGGTGCCGAATTCCTCTATTTCGCGATACTCGCTCAGTTTGACGTCATGCCAGTCGGATCGGTTATCCTGAACGCTCTTCTGGTTACCGCTGTGGTTACTGTAGCTCAGCGATTTAGTCCTGACCCGGAGGCTTTAAACGGTCCGCTGTGGCTCTCTGGATCGGCAGCTGTTGGTCTCGCAACAGGTGTCATTCCTCCATTGGTTTTCCTGCTTATCCTGACCACCCTGACTGCGTTTTCTGCCGCTCGTGCGGTCCTCTCATCGTCAGCAGCAGCTGCTGCATCCGATTCATCATCCACCCTCCCTTCCTCCACCTCCTCCCTCTCTTCCTCCTTGCCCTCTGCCTCTTCCAAACCTCACGCTTTGGCCGGACCTAACTGGCTGTCAGTGGTGGCTCCGGCAGTGGCGGCGATTGCCGGAGCAGCGGAGAACCTTGGGGTTCGTCTGTTAGCGGTGGGGGTGTATGCGATGCTTGCCGTGTGGCTGCACCATTCAGGGAAAATTACCTTCCAAAGTGACCCCAGTACTGCAGCAGCAGCAGCACAAGGGAAGCATGCCAAGACCTGGAAGCTTCAACCAATGAGCATGATTCAAGGGCTTGTGGCGTTTGCGGGTCTGGTGGCGGTGATGCGGTGGGGCAACAGTGCATTCCTTGCATGGATGGTGCTCTGACTTGGTTTTTAGCCAGGTTCTTGGGAAGTGTTTCACATTAGATTGACCGTTAGGGATTAGGATGGATGTGGTTGTTTGGTGAGGTGCCAAAATTGTGGACGGGTTTGGCCTGGGTGGCGAAGTCAACCCTGCTGGCATTCATTCGATTTCCTACAAGCTTAGGTCACACACACAATCCCAGAAGCTCCATGTTCCCCACTAGAATGTCCAAAAGCTACTGGGCTGCATGCGCATGTGAGAAAATGTCCTTATCGACACACAAGTTCCGTTGCTGTTTTCCATTTTTCGAGACCGGATAAGTAACAAGAATGCAATAGTTCAATGTATTGTTTACTGTAGATAGTGGCTTCTGTGCCATCAAGCTTGATATTTTCCAGAGACACATTCATGGATCTCAAAAACCCGTTTCTCATGCCACCCTTCCAGATGAAGGGCCAGTTGACATCCCTGTAAGTGCAGGTATTAATTGCAATGTCGAGTTAGTGTGAGAATGAGCGGATACCTGGACAGTCGATTCTGCACGATGTGGTGTTTGAAAAGGCATGTTTGGGACGATCCATCTGATTAAATATCACCACGCGTGACAATGCGCGGATATGTGGACGTTGACATTGTGATGATGCGACTGGGACGAGAATACATGCCTGCCTGGGACGATCCAAGACATGAGAAAGCTCGTCAATGCGCGGATACGAAACATTTCATCAAAGCTAGCCCATGAGACAAACGAAAAGACTGCGATCTCCCTTCATCCCAAATTTCTGCAAAAAAACTCCCACGATGGATGCATAAGCAACCCCTTCGAGGAAAGGTTTTAATCATAAGGGAGATCTTGAGCGAAGCACTCGCAAATTTACAAATTGGCGCCATGAAGGCAGCATCGAGAGAAAGGGGTGGAATGTGTGGAACCGGAGAGAAAAGGTATGGACAGCACCTACATCTGAATGTGAAGATGCGTCTTCTCTCTGGTTATGAGGACATCAGAACTCTTTGTTTCAGATGACCAATCCAGACGAAAGGCGAAGTGAAAAAATACGAAACAAGACCGAATGGAGTAGGAGGGGGTGGGAGCAGTGACGAGGAAATGTTTGAAAGGTAAGAGAGGGGATGGTGAATGAAGAGAGCGAACCGAGCACCATAGAGACTGTGGCCAGAGCGAAGGGAAACACCGAAGGAACAGAAACGAATGTCCCAACCATAACGCTCTCGCACCCTCTTACCTAATGTACTCGAAGAAGGCAAGGGTTCAAGGAGGGTTTTCCAGCTGAGTGGAGGAAGATGTGAGAATGTGCACCAGACTAAGTATCAAGAATGAAAGAAAAGAAAAGAAAAGAAAAGAAAAAAAAAAGTACATTGAGTGGAGTATGAAAACGAACCAGATCTTAGAGCGCATGTTGTTGTGATAATGAAGGATCGTAGTGGATAGAATAAGTCTGCTAAGTCCAGGAGAAGACAATGAAGTCTCTGTAATGGTTTTATTAATAAAGTTGAAAGAAAACAAGATGATTATAAGATAGAGATACAAGGGTATAAATAGCAAACTAGCTAGCCATGTACTATGAGGGGTATATTCCCTTATTAACTGTATTGCATAGCTACAGTAACTGAGACTATTGTCATTCTCGACAGTTACCATATTGCATCTCGTAACCTCTGATTAAAGTGCAATGAGCTCCTGCTTCTGGGAGTTCCAAGAGATGAGTTTGGCCGGTTGGAGTTGAAAAATGAATCCTGTGCGGGAGCGTCTGTTGTCAATATCTCCCGCGTGGTCTGCGTTAACGTAGCCATGAAGCTGTAGGGTAGCATTCGTAGGTGAGTCCGACGTCAGGAGTAGAAACGAAGTATTGAAGTGCTCGGCGTAGATCCAGTAGATTCTCCCCTTCAGGTCGCTTCAGGTACTAAGCGAGCTGGCTTGCGACGTAGGAGAGATCGGGCCGGCACGTGACGGCGGCGAACAAGAGACACCCCAGCTGATGCTGATAGAGCCGATGGTCCTCGATGGAGAGAGATGTGGTGTCGGGTTCGTGGTTAGGAGGAGGAGTGCGAAAGGGGGTGGTGAGGTTGATCGGGGCGATGGCGAACTTCTTCGCTAGTGTTTTCGCGTATTTAGCAGCGGAGAGGTGGATGTAGGTGGCGGATTGGGTGATGTTGAGGCCCAGAAATTTTGTGACGTTGTGGTTGATGGTCACTTCAAGCTTCTCCTTGATATCTGCCTCAAACCGATCCAGCAGCTCCGTGTCGTCGACGGTGTAGAGTAGGTCGTCGACGTAGGCGACAAGGAGAATAAACTTGCCACGCGATTCCTTGCGGTACATTCCGAGATCATGTGGCAACTGAGTGAAACCGAGCTCCGTCAGGACGGTGTGCAGGTACTGCTGCCACAGTCGAGGCGCCTGCTTGATTCCATAGAGAGATTTTTTAAGGAGGCAGACGGCGTCGTCGGCGTCCTCGAAGGCATGCGGCTGCTCGACAAAGATGATGGCATCGACGGGAGCGTACAGGAATGCACTTCCGACGTCGATTTGACGGAGCGGGTGCTGTTTAACGGCTGCGATGCAGATGAGGATGCGTACTGAGGTGTGCCTTCCGACGGGCGCGTATGTGAGGTCAAAATCCACCATGTGGGTTTTCTCGAAGCCGCATACCACCTATCTCGCTTTGTACTTGTCGATGGAGCCATCTGCAAGTGTTTTGATTTGGAAGACCCATTTGCCGATGAGAACTTTTCTCCCATTCGCTGATGATCGTGGAACCAGCTTCAACATTCCGCGGCTCTTCAGTGCCGCGACTTCCGCTGCCATGGCTGCCTTCCATTTCTCACTGTCGGGGCCAAACAAGGCTTGGCGAATGGTGGTAGGTTCCTTGGGGGAGGCATGGCGAACAGCGACGGCGAGTCCGAGGATGCGGAGACTGGTTTTGTTGGTCTTTTCGAAGTGGAGGCGATCGTAGTCGTTGAAGCTGGTTACTTCGACGACATCGTCGTCACTGTCGTTGCTGAGGCGGGGGGTGTCTTGTGAGGTGTTTGGTGGTAACTCGACATCCGGTAATCGGCGCGCTGCACTGTTGTAGTTGTGGGCTTCACGAGTTGTATCGTCAGGGTCGAATTGGTGTACAGGTATGAATGTCGGAGTCTGGAATGGGCTTGTAAGGGGAATGTTGGGTGCGCTGTCAAATTGGGTGACATCTGCTGCATCAGCATCTTCTGCCAGGTCAGCTTCATCGTGTGGAGTTGCGAAGCTGCGGTGTCCCTCAAAAATCCTTTCCGGTGCCCTGTAAGCTTCGCGGTGCTCCTTGAACATTGGCAGAGTTAGCTTCTCGTAGAAGATGCAGTCATGTGATTTTGTGACTTCGTGTGTTGCGTAGTCCAGCACGATCCACGCCTTGTATTCTTTTTCGATCCCGAGGTGGATGCCCCAGCGTGCTCGGTCAGCAATTTTTCCGATCCTTGCTGTGTGTGGCGTGTACTGTACCATGTAGCCAAACACTCGAAGCAGACGGGTGTCCACTTTTCTGCCCGTCCAAGCCCTGTAGGGAGAGTTGTTGTTCTCGAGGCTTCGGGAGGACAGCAAGTTGTGCAGCCGGACTGCGTGGTTCATTGCAAACAGCCAGTATTCGGTTGGCACGGCTGACTGCTTCATCAGGGCCCTCATTCTTGTGGCAAGGCTCATGTTTGTCCGTTCTGCTACACCTTGCTGCTCGTGAGCATAGGGCAGGGACACCAGGTGCTCAATCCCCTTCTTCTTGAAGAGTTCCTTGAATTCAGTTGAGAAGAACTCCAACCCCCCGTCTGTCTGGTAGGTTTTCAGCTTCAGTCCAGACTGATGTTCGGCCCACTTCATCCACGCTACGATGCACTCGAAGGCGAGAGAGTGGCAATCGGTGTTGACAGCCCAGACGTAGCGTGTGCATGCATCGATGAAGGTAAGCATGTAGAACTCGCCATTGAACCCAGTTTGGCTGAGAACCATGAAATCGCTGTAGACTTTGTCTAGCGGCTTGTAGCGTTCGTAGCCAGGGGGTAAATCTGGAAAGGATTTGTGGGCGAGTGACGCAGTTGGGAACACGGTGCATGACGGGTTGGCTGATTCCGCTGTGAGGGAGCCTCCACGAGGGAGGAGCAGCGCGTCGTTGTCTAAGACACTAGCCTTGAGAGAGGTCTTGAGTGTGGCGTGTGAGGGGTGCCCGAGTCGCTGATGCCATGTTTCCGGTTTCGCACGGTACCCGACTGTCTTCTGATAATAATTATGTGAAACATTTATGCTATAGTCTGTCTAGGCTGTAGTGGGGCAGTTCATATAGGGTACAAAACTTTTAGGTTTCCTACTTGTACCCACTTGCTTGCTAGTTCAGTCATTCCTTCCTTCGCTATTCTAACATGGTATTCTGAGCAGGTTCCCTCGTGGGAACGTTTTTTTTAGGGCCCACCACGATAACTTTTTTTTTCTGCCCTGCCCGAAGCGCGCCTAGCGCCTGCCTCACCTGCGCCGTCGCGCGCCCTGCCCTAGTGCCGCCCGTCGCGGCCCTATCTTCTCGGCCCGTCGCGGCCCTACCTTCTCGACCCGTCACAGCCCTGCCCCAACGGCCCGTCGCGGCCCTGCCCTCACGGCCCGTCGCGGCCCCCTGCCTTATCGGCCCGTCGTGGCCTCTGCCCTGCTGCTGCTCGTCGCGGCCCTGCCCTCACGGCCCGTCGCGGCCCCCTGCCTTCTCGGCCCGTCACGGCCTTGCCCTGCCGCCACCCGCGGCCCTACCTTGCCGCCCGCCGCGGCCTCTGCCCTGCCGCTGCTTGTCGCGGCCCTGCCCTGCCTGTACTCACCTTTAGTGGAACATTCTCGAGTGGAAATTCGATCCTGTGACACTGCCCTTCAGCCGCCACAGTCGCGGCCCTGCTGCCGCCCCAGTCGCGGCCTTTCAGCCGCCCCAGTCGCGGCCCTGCTGCCGCCCCAGTCGCGGCCCTGCCCTTCAGCCGCCCCAGTCGCGGCCCTACTGCCGCCCCAGTCGCG